AACCCCATTGAGTCTAATTCCAGGCCCTTGCTTCTTTAATCCAGCCCCCCTCCCCTCCCCAGTATCAGTAAGTGAGACAGCTGTTTCTTCCCTTGCTAATACAGGCAAATCCCATCCCAAACTCCCCGGCTGCTGGCAAAACCAAGCTTGCAACCCTGGTCACAGCAAATATTAATTATAACGAGCTGGGTAAACAGTTGGCCTTTTATTGTAATTAAGAGGGATGATTTAATTGGGGGGAAAGGTGAAGGGAGGGAAGGGAACTCGGACTAACTTGGGTGACCCAAGGTCTTGGAAAGCCTTGTCATCAATGCATGGTATCCTCAGGGATCAGGATAAAACAACACAAGCCCTGTGAAGGCAGTCCTTGTTAGTTGATGTGGTTGTTGTGTGCCTTCGAGTCATTTCTGACATAGTGACCCTAAGGTGAATCTAGCACAGAATTGTTTGTGGCTGAGAATGTGTGACTTGCCCAAGGTCACCCAGTGGGTTTCCATGGCCAAAAGGGAATCAAATCCTGATCTCCAGAGTCATAGGAGCCCTGGTGGCACAGGAGTTAAATGCCAGTACTGCAGCAAGGTTGTGAGTTCAATTCCAGCCAGAGGCTCAGGGTTGACTCAGCTTTGCATCCTTCCAAGGTGGCTAAAATGAGTACCCAACTTGTTTGGGGCAATTAGCTTATAGTTGTAAACCACTTAAAGACTGATTAGTGCGGTATGAAGCAGTATATAAATGAAGCTGCTATTGCTGTTGCTATTGTTTATAGTCCAATGTTCAAATCACTATATCATGCCCAGTTTTACAGCCCACAAATGCTGGTGTGCAGGCCTCTTGACTGCAGGGGATGTAATAGAAGAGAAGACAGAACAGTGGCATAATTGTATTCCTTAAATAGCCAAAGGGCTGTCAGAGAGAGAGAAAGAAGGGTATAGGTTTGTTCTCTGTTGCCCCAGAAGGTAAGACCAGGTCTAATGGTTTTAAATTATAGTACAGTTGATTTTGATTGAACATTAGACAGATCTTCTTGGTGATAGGAAAGGTTCAGCATTGGCAGCAATTACCCAAGAAAGGTGGTGGGGTCCCTTTTTCTGGATTTCTCCCAAAAGAGGCTGGACAGCTACCTGCTGGAGATGCTCTAGCTGGAGGTCTTAAACTGAGCCGGAGGTTGGACTCAATGGCCCATGAGGCCCCTTCCAACTCTATGGTTCCATGATTCTATGACTAACTATAACCTTTGAAAAGAATAGTAGTAACTATGCTTTTCTGCTCTTAATTCATGTAGCTCTGCTCTGTTTAGACCTGAATTATTAGTCCGTTTTTATATTTCTCCATTCATTCACTTGAGGAAATTGTCCCTACTTCAGGCAGCTGCACCTGTTCCGGGTAGGACTGCCAGGTCAGGATATACCAGGCCCTGACATTTTAGAGCCAAAACATGAATAAGGCTTCCATACCCTATTGCATACATATACTTGGGAATATATCCCACTGCAGACCAGTAAATAAACAAGTAAGCAAGCAAGTAAACAATATCCAAATAAACAGCAGGATTTGTACGTGCAGCAACAAAAATCACAGAACAAGAGAACTTTACAGCTAGGAATGAGATGGAGATGGATGAGTAGATAATTATAAATATTTTTTAATACCAGACAGATTCTAGCCCTGGAACAGATCCCATGCAGGCCCTGTTTTAAGTGATGAATTAATGCAATTGCTTTTCTCTCTTTCTCTCAGTTAAATGGCATCCCAAACAGCTGGCATTTGCATGAAATAATTCACAAATTGGGAAAGGAGAGCTGTTGAGCTGAGCCAAACAATCTCCAGAGAATTCCCCAAAAGAGAAAGCACCCAACTCTCCATGAAACAACATGGAAAGATAACTCCACAGTACTACAAAACCCCATAAATTAAAAGATGGAACACCTCCTCATGCAGTAGCACCTGGATATAATCCTTCAGTGCTGAACAGGAATCACTCACCTTCTGTATTAGTTAAATATATAGGCCATCTTTCCCAGGACCTGTTCCTAGGTGCCCTGTCCATTCCACCCTCAGCACAAAGACCTGTGATCTTTACACAGCAGGGATGGCTCTACCATTAGGTAGAATGAAGAATCAGCAGCACATTTTTGTATCAGGAATAGGCACCAAATTCTTGTTCATGTATTATTCTTATACTCCACCAAAGGGAAAGAAACAATGGTGGGATTTTCTGTCTCAAATGCAAAAATCACTTGTTTGGCCTTGAACCCTATGCAGCTTTACTGAGCAAGGAGACACCATTTTCTGTTTCACCTCAGGCAGCAAAATGCCTCACTTTCATCCTTTGCTCCATTGCTTTGCCTTCATTCCTAATTATATCCCCATTTCTGTGTGACCTCTCTTGTCCAACCCAACCATCCTCAGCCAGCAAGCCTGGGCAGACTTGCTTGGGAGTAAGCCCCACTGAACATGGTAGGGCTTCCTTCTGAGTAAACATACATTTAGCCCTATTATGCCCATGGATTCTGCATCCATGGATTAAATAAAGCATCCATGGCTTGATTTATTTATTTATTTTTAATCCCAAAAAGCAAACTTTGATTTTGCCATTTTATGTAAGGGACACCATTTTACTACACCACTATATTTAATAGAACATGAGCATCCACAGATTTTGATAGAGATGAGGGGGGGTTTCCTGGACCCAACCACAGATATCAAGGGCCCACTGTATATTGGTTTGTGCTGTCATGAGCTGCTCAAAAACATTTTCCCATGATTCCACCCAAGCTGGCATGGGCACAGAGGCAGAAGGCTACAGTGGCTGATGGCTGTCATACCAGAGGAAGAGTGAATCCTCTCTGGGTTAAACCTGAACTTCCAGGGAATGACAATAGCTATCCAAAGTGCTGTATCCTACACTGAAAAGAAGTTCAGCATAGCAATCCAATATGCTGAAATTATTTTGGAAGGAAATTTTAGTACCTTGGAAAGCTCTATTAAAACCCAGATTCACCATCCCACTATCATGGATGCCACCAGTGGGCACTTGTAAAAGGAGAGGAGTGAAGTAACAACAGCAAAAAAGGAGCAGCACCTTGTGTTGAGTCAGAAAGGCCATCACTTTAATGGGTACAGTTTAGGCAGAACTTTGGCACTGCACAGGGCATAGATCTAATTGTCAGCTCTTGGATGGTGATCCTTCCCATCGCAATGGAATAATGCTAATGGTAATGGAATTTAAATTTTATTTCTTGGACTTTGAAATACTTTGTATTTGAAATACTGATGGCCAGGAGGAGGAGAGGCCTACCTATATAAATATCCCTCTATACCATCTTAACTCAGAACAACACCAAGAACATTTTGACAAAATGCAGGCATGTGACTAACATCATCATTTCCCTCCTATATAGTTTTTAGCACCTTTGCTTGATGAAGATACCAGTGGAGCTTTGAAAGCTTCCAACATGTATTTTGTGCATTTTGGTTGGCCAAATAAAGGTATCATTGTTTTGTGCATTTTGAATATTATTGTATTTTGCTATATGGCCAACCCCTGGATATTATTCAGTAGGTTTTGTTTTGTTTTATTTCCCTTTTTCCTGGATATAGCGAGAGCTTAGAGGTTTTTCCTGTTTTATTTCCTGAGTGCCCATATTTTCTTTGGGGAAAAAAGCAACGATGACTTTCCCTTACCTTTCAGCAGTTTTGTATGCTCTCAACTGTAGCTTTAGTTTTTTGTTTTAAGCCATGGAGCTAACTGGAGCTCTTGACATTGTTTGTTTTAGATTATTTTCCTTTATAGTCATATAACTTCTCCCAGTTCTTGTGGGCATTAAAGGACATGTTTGTACCAATATAGTCACCCTTATCTGAAATGCTCAGGAACAGAAGTGTTTAGGATTTTGGAGGTTTTGGATTTTGGAATAATGAAATATATTGGAAGTAGTTTTATATAAGTAGTTTTGTGTATGAAACCATCAAACCATCAAAAGTTTTGTGTTTTTGAACCATCAAAAAACAAAGGTGCCACTATCTCAGCCATGCTGGGAGCAATCTTGGAATTTGGAAAATTTGAAATTTTGGAATTTCGCATTAGAGAGACTCAACCTGTAAGAACTATGGAAAGCTAAGGAACAGACTGATTAAGAAACTTAGAGGGTGTAGAGGAGAATTGCTGTACTCTCTCTGCTAATTTTTCTTTATGCTTTGCACTATGTACACCAAGTGTAACTGCCCAGTGACAAGGATTTTCTGAAATTCTCTGTTTTATGGAATATTATCCTGGAAAGAGTGTGGTGGGCTTTCACCAATAGCTGGAAGCAGGACACCTGAAAAAGGAAATTCACTTTGTACACATTTTGAACTCGTCAGAAGAAAAAGTGGAAAATGAAAGAAAATCAAGCAATGAAATGAAATTAATGAAATGAAATGGTGAAATAAACAGTGATGGGTTAAGAGAGGAGCTGGAAAGAGTAAGGGCCAAGCTTATGGCTTACTCCAACAGTCTTAAAGTGGTTCCCATAGAATCATAGAGATGAAGCAGTGGTGGTTGGTAGCTCCCACATCTAGGAGGGAGCAAATCTTCTCCAAGATTTAGTCTGAACTGTAAAGGAGCTTTTCTGGGCTCAGAACCTTATAGAGACTGGATTCAGCACCTTGGATAACTCCTTTAAAGTTCAGACTGAAAACCAGATCAAATTTATAATGCCCCAGTTACATGGGAGATGATAGAGATGATAGAGATAGAGATAGAGAGCCAGCATGACATAGTGGTTTGAGTGTTGGAGTATGACTCTAGAGACAGGGTTCAATTCACGCTTGGCCTTGAAACCCACTGGATGACCTTGGGCAAGTCACAAGCTCTCAGACTCAGGGGAAGGCAATTGAAAACCTCCTCTGAACAAACCTTGCCAAGAAAACCCATGATAGGTTCACTTTAGGGTCGCACTAAGTTGGAAACAGCTTGAAGGCACAAAACAAAAACAAAAACAACAATAGATCTTATTAGAGATCAAGTGTGGCACAGTGGTTTGAGTGTTGACTACAACTCTGGGGATCAGGGTTCAAATCCCTGTTGGGCCATAGAAACTCACTGGGTGACCTTGGATAAGTCACACTCTCTCAGGCTTAGAGGAAGGAAAAGGCAAATCTCCACTGAACAAATCGTGCTAAGAAAACCTTGTGAAAAGGTCACCATAGGGTCTCTATAAATTGGAAATGACTTGAAGGCATACAACAGCAATAGCAACAACAAGGAGTATAATTATTTTCCAGCATCAAGTCATTCCCTCTCTGAACACTGAGTAGCCCAAGTGCAAAACTGGACCACAGCAAGAGTGCTAAAGAACAATTAGATTAGCATTTGTATTTTCCCCAGTCCCTCTCTTAGGACCTTATCACACAGGGTCTAAAGCAAACCTAATCCAAAGGGTATCCGTAGCTAATACATATTATTTCCCCGTGTTTACACACGATGTTGCACCAAAACTTGACAGAACCCGGAGCTAATCCGTAATGAATTGAGATCTTTTGACATTTGGTTTTTCGGGGAAGTACAACCGAGCTTTCGGAATCATTGCGCAATGGCTGCGCAGGCGAAATACATATGATCACGCAATACGTATTGTGAAGCACTTCCCTGCCCTGACCCATGGTTCCCCGCGCTACTTCCCATGGATCTGTGAGGAAGCATCTTATGACGTGTCCGTCCTGTTTGGATTGGGCAACAAATGAAACGGGTAAACATGGTCCTCTCTTTGCAATTTATGGGATTTTCTAACTTGTGTGTGCACGGAGAATACGTTTCCAGGATGCGTGTCCCGGGAAGCGCGATAATTGCGCTATGGCGGTAATTGCGTGTGGTAGGCATTTACATATTGCGGGAAGCTCTTTCAGTTCATTTCGGTATAGAACTGAATTTATTCTTATTTTGGTTATTTTTCGCTTCGTGGCCAGCGTGTGATAAGGTCCCTAGTGATGGATCCCTATATCACCTTTCTTTCCTCCCCACTGCTCACACCAATCCCTTCCCTGAGACAAGGCTGGTGTGTTGGTTCACAAAATGGAGTATTTCGTACCATTCTGCAAATGGTAACCAGCTCACTTTTTAACTAGCTGCTGTTCCTTTGCCTTTTGTCATCAGCTGGAGGTAATAGTGCTTATCTCCACAGCTATGAGAACAGGCTTGACTTCAGCTTCTGTTTTCTCGGGGTGGGGAATAAATAAGGGTAGACTGAAGTACCACTGAGATTACAGTAGATGCAAGGTGCATTTCCCTCACTCTAGAATCATTACGGTGAGTTCATATACATCATAGAGTTGGGAAGGGGAGTGCTGAATGCTCCCAAATGATAGGGCTAAGTTTTCAGGCAGACATTAGCTCCAGCATTTTTTTTTTTCTAAAAATGAGGCACTTTCATTTAACCTGCTGATTTTCAAATAGAATGACACAAGAGCAAATCAAGTCATTTTTTCTACTCAAACAATGAGTGACCCTACTGCAAAAATGGACCAAATCCAAACATTTGAGGACCCGTTAGATCCATATTTCAGTTTTCCCCATCATGGTGGATGTCTCTATCTCCCTGCCCCCACCAATCTCTTCTATGTGTTGGTTTCCAACAGGCAACCTTCGTCATCTCGCAGCAGAGAGCAAATGGAAAGGCCATGGGCCAGAGGGAGAGAGAAAGAGAGAGCGAAAGAGCACACCAAAGAATAAGTTGTGTCTTTCCTTAATCAACTCTCCTTTGCCTGGGGCATCTCAAGAGAGAGCACTCAGTGAAATGGAGACAAAAGCACAGGAAAGAGAAATGGACCAAAATTGTAATCCGAGTCAGAGACATGGGGGGTGGAAGGTGTGAGGGTAAAATCTCTCTTCCCTCACTTCAGAGCAAAGTGTGCCTACTAGGGGATTCCTCTTACCTTGCATGGCTCCCTTCCCCAGGATGTTTTCTCTAGGCCCAAAGGTGGGAAACCTGCATCACTGTGTGCTTTGAGGAGTGTATATGGTGAATATGAAGAAAACAAAAATAATGGCTACGGACAAACTACATACATTCATCCTAGATAATGAAAGAATAAAAATACTCAAAGTTACTTTGGATCAAACATTGATCAGAGTGGAGACTGCAGTCAAGAAATCAGAAGAAGACAGAACTGGAAAGGGCAGCAATGAAGGAACTAGACAAGATAGTAAAGTGCAAAGACATAACACTGAATACTAAAGCAAGGATCATCCACGCATTGTATTCCCAATCACCATGTAGAGATGTGAAAGCTGGATAGTAAAGAAAGCAGATAGAATGACAATCAACTCATTGAGATGTAGTGCTGGAGAAGAGAAGATACCGTGGATGGCCAAAAAGATAAACAAATGGGTTCCAAAACAGATCAAGCCTGAACTCTCCCTGGAAGCCAATATGACTAAATTGAGGCTGTTGTACTTTGGATATCTGATCACCTCTCAGTCTTCTCAATCTTGTACTTCTTCTGTCATAATACTATAATTGGGGTGGGCTCATTCAAGGAAGCTGAATGGTGGAATATTCAGGACTAAAAGAACTTTAGAAGGAGCCATCCTATCCCTGTATTTGTAGCAAGGACACGCAGCCGAGTAGACAAATTTCTCAAACGGGAACAGCAAACTTGATGTTACCCAATGGGCTTCTTAATCATGCTCAAAATCTAAGACAATTTGGAATTCCTTCTGGATAGAAGGTTGGAATGTAGAACATGTCCTGGAAAACCCTGTGCAAAAAAGCCACCATTAGGTACAGGGGTGTAGGTCTGTGGAGATGGGTAAAATTTGGGAAATGAATAAAATTTTCATTTGCAGGGACTAAACCCATATTGGGGTGGAGTGCTAAGCCCTCATTTTGCTCCTTCTGTAGCTCTATCTTAGCTAGGTAAAACCTCAATAAAACACTGCACACTGGGAAAGAGATCCAAAATCCAGAAATCTCAGAGACAGATCAGGGAAATTTATGGACCAAGCCCTCAATTAATGTGATTTCAGTCAAATTTAAAGAGCATTCAGTTAAAATACTTCATGTGTGGTATTTCACACCAGTATGCTTAACATATTTAATTGAAAACAGATCTAACTCTTGCTGGGTGGCATTGGATTTGTCACTTTTGGTGGGAATGTCCTTTAAATAAATGTCCTTTCTAAATGACATAAATAACATAACATAAATAAAATAAATGTCATTTGATGAGCAGTTTCTGGTTAAGTATGGAAAGGGCTCTTGTAACACCTTTGAGACTAATTGTGCAAAATAAGTTTTGTAGACTTGGTTTACTTCATCTGAGGCATGGAATGAACTGTTTATGGTTAAATATGGAATCCCCCCCCCCCCGAGATTAGTCTAATCACAGGGAAGACTATAACAATGATGCCAGAACTGGTTTACTGGGGAGGGGTTGTTTTTGTTTTTGTGGGGGTTGTGTGGGTGAAAACCAATGCCTACCCTACAAAAAATATAAAATAAATGTCCTATACCTAGCTGCCCACCTGGACATAGCACAAAGCTAGAAAGCAGCAAACAATATGTTATTGTTGAAAAGGGGAAAAAATGTTGTGGTCTTTGATTCTGTCAGATGCAGGAATTAAGAAACTGGTGTAAGCCTCCTTGGGTCCCAAAATGGGGAAAAGTGGAAAAAGGAGGAAGAGGTGGGAGGAGATTAATATTCATAGTGCATTGATAGAGTATGATATTCAAGGTACATTCACATCTGTCTGTATCTGGGTGAGTTTCTTGACACATGGATTTCCATCTGGCTAAATCTGAGGCACTCCAGCAGATTTCAAAGAGACAGCCACATACACATACATACAATACAATACAATGTAAGGGCCTGGAGGTGTGAAGGGGGTGGGGGGAGACTTAACCAAGAAAAGTGGCCTAAGGATGTAGCAAGCTGCTCCATAAAAATGTTGGATCCTTGTTTGTGTAAAGGCTAGGAATCATTAGTAAAAGGGTCAACAACAACAACAACAAAACTGCCTATATCGTGATATTCTTATACAAATCTATGGTATGTCTATAGCTGCAATAATATTGCACATAATTCTGCTCACTGCGTCTCAAACACTGTAGTGTTGATCTGGAAAAATTTGACCAAAAAGATCAAGGAGCTGGAGTAACACCTATATGAGGAAAGGTTATAATTTTTGTTGTTGCTGCTGTTGTTTAGTGGGGATGGGAGGCAAGTAAGAAGGACAAAACAGAGGTTTATGAAATTATGTATGTTGTAGAGAAAGTAGCTGGGAGAATTTTTTCATGGAATCATAAAATCATAGCATTAGAAGAGACTGCAAATATCATGTAGTCCAACACCCTCCCATGCAGGAATACCTGACTAATGCACTCCTGAAAGATGCCCACCCAACCTCCAAAGAAAGAGAGTCCATCACCCTCCAAGTCAATCTATTCCATAGCTGAACAGTAAAGAAGTTCATCCTAATGTTTAGGGGGAATCTCTTTTCCTGCAGTTTGAATTCACCAATGTGTGTTCTGGTCTCTGGAAGCAGCAGAAGACACACTTGCTCCATCTCTCCTACATGACATCCCTTCATCTGTTTAAAGATGGCTATGAGGTCCCCTCTCAGTCTTCTCAATCTTTATTCCTTCTTTCATAATACTATAATTAGGGTGGGCTCATTCAAGGAAGCTGAATGGTGGGAAACTCAGGACAGAAATTTTTGGAAGTGTGTAAATGAAATTGTAGAATGCGCTCCCAGAAGATGTAGAGGTAGCCACCAATTTGGGTGGCTATGAAGGGGGATTAGACAAATGCATGGAGGATAATGCTACCAATGCTCATAATGGATACGTATTGCCTTCAGTATCAGACATTCAATACAAGACTTGTCAGAAACCAAAGAAAAATGGAGATTACGCTTATGCCCATCACCTTTTCCACCAGCAGTATTTATTGGCTGAATGTGCCATAAAAACCTGTAGGTCTGGGATCAATACAAATGATGGTCCTCTGTTGGGCCACCTGCCCACACCAAGTGTCTGAGTGACCTGATATCTGGATTTATATAAAATGTCTTGAAAAACCTGTTTTGTCATTTC